CCGCGTGTGGGGTACCCGCGGGGCCTGGAGGGATCGGGAGCCCCGGGAGGCCCTCTTTCGCACTTCGTACACCCCCAGCCCAGGCTCACACGCGCCCCGACGCGCCGTGCCTACCCCGGGGCGCCTCTAGGACCGATGCCCCGGAGATCACCCTGGCACCCTCTCACCTCGAGAGTCCCTGTTGCGGTCCATGCTAGCACACTCGCCATGCGCCGGTGTTCAGAGCCCACTCCAACGCCCCTCCATCCCCCCAGGTGGTCACCAGAGGCCCCTCACAGAAAGTCTCGCATGAGCCACGGTCTGACTTCTGTCGACTCTCTTGGATGTGCCTAGGGCGCTAGGTGTCCTCGGGCTCTGCGTACCTCTCTGTCTTTGCAAGGACAGTGCCCCCGCCCTCCAGAGGACCCAGCCTCAGGCAAAGTCCACTCTTGGCTAACCTTCTGCCGAGCTCCCTGCGGCTCCGCGTGGCTGCACCCCAGAACACCCATGGTCTAATCGAGAGGGCACATCTATTTCAACGCACACACTTAGGCATGGCCCTGTGGGCCCCCGTGCCGGAGCCGGGCGCTTCTGGCTTACGCTGGGTGACCCGCCGGGTTCCGGCGGGTTTGACGGGCCTCGCGGGCGGAGGTTCAGCGCCCAGCGCTGGGAGGAGTGACTTGTGGGAAGCCAGGGGTAAGACTCCTATGTCTTTGAGACCCTCTGAAGACCCCAGCTGAGGCAGACCGTTGAGAACACCCCACTTCCCCTCTACACATACTCGTTACAGACTTGGAGCGGGGAGGTCAGCTTTCTTCCCCTAGTATCCTCTGGTGCGAGTCAGGAATATGCCCCTGTGAGAAGCTTTCCCCCAGCCGAGGGCCTGGGCCATTTTGAGAGGACTAGGGGGACTCGGAGGTGGGCGAGGGTCCATTTTCCTTCAGGGCCCCTCCTGCCGTCCTGTGACTGCTGTGTCCTAGCAAGGCTGCCAGGCTCGGGCTGGAAGGCTGGGTCGCTGCGCCCACCTCCCACCCCCAGCCCAGGTGGGGGCCTGCCTCCCGGGTCAGTGATACCTCTGTTTCCGAATTACTCCGTTCTTCCCTGTGAGCCCCCCTCCCCCACCCTAGCCTCAGATGCCCTTGGAGAGGTTTGTTTAAAATGTAGATTCTTGGTCCCCACCTCCGGAAAAGATGTGGAACTGGAATTTGAATCTCAGGAAGTGCAGCCCAGAAAGCTATATTTTTAATTCTGCAAGAATTGTTTCGGAGATGGCGGGTAGGGTCGGGGTTCGGTAGGAAGCTGACAGGTAGGGAGAGCCTGTGTGGAGCTGGGCACTGTGCCAGGCTCCGGTGGTTGTGAATGGCACGACAGCCCAGGAGGGAAGCCCGGGCCCCAGCCGTGTGAACGGGCAGAAGAGAGGGAGATCAGTTCTAAGTCCAGGAGGGTTCATGGAGGAGAGGTGACTTTTGAGCAGGGACTTGACAGAAATCTGAGGCGGAGGTAGGGGAAGGGTGTTCAAAGGGCAGGAAGTTGTATGAGCCAGTTTGGGGAGGGGAGAAGGGAGAGGAAGGGGAGGGACGGTGGCCAACGGGGTGTTGAAACTGGACTTGAAGCATTTGTTTCTGGGGTGGCCAGAAACTGAGCGCACCTTGAGTACCTTTTGAGAGAGGTGGTGACCGTGTTCCACCGGCAGCCTTGGGAGGTTTTGGACCAGCGGAGAGATCTCTACTGGGCCAAGTGATGTAGCGCTGGGGTGGACCCTGGGGTCGGCTCCTGGTAGACGGGTCCGGAACCTCCAGCTCCTTTTGCATGTGAACAGTGAGAATTGGAGTAAGGGGAGTATCCTGCTGTGCCTGCAGGGACCTCGGTGACTTCCTGTGTCTCTGGTTTAGGGGTCCCAGTGGGCTCAGCGGCCCAGTCCCGAGCATTTAGGTCCCACTGCACAGATGCGGACACACATCCAGACTCCCAGGGCCTGGTTGTGGGTGAGGTGGTCCTCCTCTGCACTCCCAGCGGTGCTTTTGTGGCTGAGGTTCTAGCGGAAGGACCAAGGTCTCCCATCAGACTTCTGAAGGGCTGCACCTTTTAGCGCATTCACGTCTGCTTCTGGAAGCTGCTTCTTGAGTTGTTTCTCTGGCAACGGACAGTTCCACTGGGTCTGAGACAGCGGGGTTCACACAGCGGGGTTCACTCAACGGGTACCAACATCTGCTGGGAAGCCACAGCTCCCACCAGTCAGGTCCCCACTAGGCTCCAGGCCCTTTGCCAAGGGCTTTATATCTTCTTTTTCCTCCCTATTTTACAGGTGAGGAAACTGAGGCTCAGAGGTCAGTTCTTTGCCGAAGATCTCATGGCCCTCTGCCACAGGGGACCTAAGCCCTGAGCGGCCTGACTTTTCTGGCCTGTGCTCTTATGATCATGCTCAGCTTTGCTCCTCTGGGGCACAGGGTCTGGTGCTGTTGAGGGGAGTGATGGAGACCTCCGGTCCAGAGCCTGCTCTCCAGGAGCTCTTGATCTGTGAGAGAGGTGCCCAGAGGGTGTGCTTTTCATGGGGGGATCAAGGAAGGCTGCATGGAGGAGGTGGTAAATGGGAAGATGAAAGCTAATTTTCTGTCAGACCCCTCTGTTTCCCAGAGTTTGGTGACGTGGTCCAGACGTGAGAAGAGGGGCCAGGGAGTGGGGCACAGGGCAGCTAGAAAGGCCTCAGCTCCTTGAGATGGGCTTTATGTCCAACATTACGCGTGTCCTGAAAAATCAACCTCAGTGTTTACAGATTTGTCATTCTGCCCTTTCCACCTACTTCCTGAAGGAATAGTAGATGGAATGTATTATATTAAGCCGCATAAGACAGAAGAATTAATTTATTTTTGAAAGTTGGTGTGTTGGGGGGGATTGACTTAACTAAAAAGATCGTTATAGCATGAAGTTGTAGCAATTTTGAGGCAGTTGATTCTTTGCTGAGCTTCCTAGCAGCCTAGGCAAAAAGGAAAACATGAATTTATGTAAATAGCATCTTTAAAAAAGGAAGCAGGCAAGTTCGATCTAGAGGCAACTCTTTTGGTTGTAATAACCCAGAGACTTTAATGCTGCAGACCGTTGGGTAGCTAGTGGAGTAGAGGAATGTTCTGGAAGCTGTGGTTAACTTGTGCCTATGGCTGGTCCGAAAGCCTTTATAGAATTAGTATGAAATGAATGCTGTTAAGTGCCCGTGTTTCTTATTTTTTAAATCTTCCCCAAGTCTTGAGGAGAAGGACGATCTTACCTGGGTTTCCTGGTGAGGCAGCAGGCTCAGAGAGGGAGAGAAACTTGCCCAAGGTCATAGGGTAGAGTGGCAGAGCTGGGATTTGCACTCGGATGTGAGAATTAAGAGCCTGGCTCTAGCTTCCTGTTTTTATTACTATTATTATTATTATTATTTGTTGTTGTTGTTGTTGTTGTTGCTTTTTGTTTTGTTTTGTTTTGGGTGGGAGGTGGGAGTTCCTAGGTACTTTGGAGGGGAAGAGAGGGACTTCAGGAAGGGAAGACTTATCAGGAGTCAGGCCGCTAGGGGAGGCTTCCTGACAGAAGTGGGCTCTGAAATGTCTCGAAGGGGGCAGAACTAAGGAGGATCAGAACCAGACCATAGCTTGGGCGGTTTTTTTTGCCCAGGATGTAGGAGCTAGCCATCGGAATGTCCTGTGATAACAGGGCCATTGCCTTTGGCACCTTCTTTTCTTCTTGTCCTGCCTCCTGGGTTGGTTTGCAGGTAAGTAAACAGATCAGAAGTCTCACCTGCCATTAGAACACAATGATCCGGCCTGTGGTGGTGCTAAGAGTTTTGGTGGGAGCACAGGCCTGGAAGCAGAAAGCCTTGGGTTCAAATCCTGGCTCTGCCCCTTCCTGGTTGTGTGATCTTGAATAGATTCCCTAATTTCCCTGAGCCTCAGTTTCCTTGTCTGTAAAATGGTGATGGTGGGATTATGAGGACTATGGAAGACAAAGCCTGCAGGGCACTTATGTTGGAATGCAGGGCACTTAGAATTCACAGGTGTCATAGAGTCCTAGGGCGTTTATGCTTGTTCCTAGAGTTCCTGTGGTGCATGCTGAACATGAACTTGCAAGCTTCCAGGGACAGGAAGTTCAGTCCCTCCCAAGGCGGCCTACTCCATCCTAGTGCACTCGGGAGTGTTAGAAAACTCTTCCTCGAGGTGCTCCTAGCTCTGCCTTCAGCCCCAGCAGGCAAGCCAGGAATGGGGCAGGGCCTTGAAGGTCAGCTCTGACCTCCAGGAAGAAGCTGCTTAGGTGAGGTTGTTGGGGTCTAAGAAGTACGAGCAGAGCTTGGTCCTGTTGGGATTGAATTGTTGGGGTCTCCTAGTGCTTTCCTTAGCTCTGAGATCTGTGGGTTCAGTCTCTACGTGCAGCATTCCAAGCCCTGCATGCTCACGGGCTTCCTCCAACACGGAGCAAACCAGTGCCTTGTACTGTTAGCTCCGCCCACACTCCCCACTGTGACAGAGAGGGTGTTGAGTATTTGGAATTAAACTGTAATTGTGTAATAAATATATGAACACATTCTCCTTAAAAAAAAGAAAAACCTGTTACAGATAAGGCTAAACTTATTCTTGGATCACCAACCCCTCTCCCCAAGGGGACCACTGTTTCGGGGTGTTTCCAGTTCTTTGTCCGATGCATTTTTAAAAACATAGATGATTTTATTCTGTATCCTTTGTTCCAGAAGTTGCTTTTCTCCCCCTCAGGGCCCCTGCAGTCTCTTCATGTCATACAGAGCTGTCTCCCCCCTTTTAAAGTCTTTCAGGGTAGTCCACGATGTCACAGTGGCCTCAGCTCTTTAGTCATTTCTCTACCGATGGAC